CCCAATCCGGAGGGCAAACCCCGGGGGGGGGGGGGGGGGGGGGGGTCATGGAGTTCTTCTTCGCTTCGGCGTTTTGTGGTTGGATGATTGATTGTTTGCCGCGCACCCTGCTCGTTGAGAAACGGAACAAATTTTCCACTCTCCATGCGCGTTATGGCAGCGAGGTTTTGCCAGCGCGCATGCGAGAGATGAATGTGTCCGACCCAGCGTGTCCTTGCTTGAACCTCAACTTGTCTCCCCGTGATTTGTTCTTGTTTTTGCCTTCCTGCCTGCCTGCCTGCCTTCCTGCCTGCTTGCCTGCCTGCCTGCTTGGTGACGGCCAGGGTGGCTCTTGAGCTTGTCGCGTACTCGTACGAGCCGTCTCAGATCAAGGACTTGGAGTTGCGTTTCCGAGAGGTGAGAGGCTCCAAGCCGGGACGAAAGACTAAAGGGTGGTATCTACAGTAGTACCATGGAATGGAGCTGTCACAGCAGTACCCTGGCATGGAGCTGCCCCCCGCCCCCGCTCTCGTTCTTGATGCCGAAGTTTTCTTGTCGATGCTGACGTCAAGTTACATACTTCTACATGCTTACGTATGCGCTGGGAAGACCGTAGGTGGGATGTTGCTTTTATGGTAGCGATCGCGTTAAGAGCTAGGTTTGTAAAACACGATTTTATCACAGGCTGCTGCCATGGTACATATGATTGGTGCATGAAAAATCGGGATGACGAAGGGTGGAGAGACGATAAAAAGGTACTCGAATTTCGAGGCGACGCCTGGGCGGAGACGCCAAAAACGCATGGGAACGAGAGCGTGAAAACGAAACCGCTGGTTAAGGAAGATCACCATCACCACAACCATCACCGTCTTCGTCGTCGTCCTCCGTAGCACCCATGACCACCGTCGTGTCATGTGTGATGCGATGACTCGAACGAAGATTAGATCATGTCACACGAGGGGCCACGCCCCGCCTCCGGCACTTGGTGCTTGTCCCTAACTCCTCCCTGTTGCCGCCTCTTTCCTCCTCGCCTTTGGCGCGTTCGTTGCGACGGAACGGAACACTGCACCCGGGCGGACGGGCGACCGTCGATGACGACGATGATAATGATGACGGTGGTGGTGGCGTTCGTGACCGGGGGGGGGGTTGTTGTACGCCCGTCTGGTCTGCCGTCGTCATCGAAGATGGACAAGACGGGCAGGGGGTTTGTGACGCTCGCGGACTTCAAGGCCGCGGTCATGGAGCTGAGACTCTCCATCGCTCAGAAAGAACAGGGGGGCAAGAGTGACTTAGAATCGGGCGTTGCAGCAGCAGCAGCAGCAGCAGGGCTGGGCGAGAAGCCGGCGGGGGGGGAGCCAACGAACCCGGAGGTAGTGGCACCAAGCAACGGCAGACCGGTGGGGGGGGGAACGGATAGTCGAGAAGATGCAGAAGAAACACGTGCAGCCGTGGCACCAGCGCCTCCTCCTCCTCCTCCCGCTGCTGTCACCGCGCCCGACGAAGAGAGGCCGGTAGCGGCAGGGGCAGAAGAGGGGGCGACGAGAGAGGAGGCGGTTGTTGGAGACGCGGAGGTAACGGGTGATAGTGGCACCAGCGGTGAGGGGGGGGCGGCGATAGCGATAGCGACAGAAGACAACGGCGAGAGAATAGATGGCCCGACGGCAGAAGGGGAGGAGGAAACAACGGCGGAGGCGGAGGCGGAGCGAAGAGGGGAGGAAGAGGCGAGTGGCGGGGTGGGGGCTGGTTTGAGCGCCGGGGCGGAGAGCGAGGTAAGGTTGCGTTTGTTGTCCTTTGTTTCCTCCCCCAAGGGAACTCGCCGACAAAACGCAGCCACCCATGGTTACAATTCAGGCGAGAGTTGAAAGTTCGTGCGTGTGCCAGAAAAGCTAAGGCAACACACACACCACCAGCCGGGAGGGATGGCCGTCGAAAATGAATCGAGTCGCGGTGGTGTTAGACTTGACGGCGAGAAACGCCTCTCTACAACGAAACCGTGCGGTTCAGCAGAGGGGTTGTATTAGTTATTGGCAGACCAGGCGGCAAGGAAGAGCGAGATGATCCCACAGCCATCCGAAAGTTAAAGGAGGCGTGTTTTTGTTGTTAGTGTTGTTGCGGTCGTCACTGCCGCTGCTTTTGTCTTGCTTTCGGCGGAAAATCGCCACACGTGTGCGCACTCCATGGTCAGATGATACTGTCGGCGTGCACCTATGGAGAGGGTGGGTGACCGACCGCCGAATGTTAATGTTACTGTTAGCACCGCTGCTGCTGCTGCTGCTGCTGCTGCTTTTTTCATCTGCCCCCGCGCAATTGAATTTCGTTTGTCAGCAATAGGGCCGTACGTATCCGCCATCAGGACTGGTGTTAGTTAATTTCGCAGTGCTGTATTGTGGGTCCGGAAAAAATAAGCGAGGCCCGTACCCGTTGGGGAATAGTTGGCTTCTTTCGAACAGAAAAGAGACTCCTCTTGTTCCAGAGGTTGCAGCGAAAAGTACCGTCAGACATGGTGGGCGGTAGGCAGACCAATTGATTCACGTTGGTCCGGCTGGCTTGAGAGCAATATTGACGTAGTTGTTTATTTTTAACAATGAACCCGCGTGTTTTTTTATCTCCTCAAATAGCAGCAGCAGCCTCAGCAGCAAGAGCGAAGATCCACGACGACGTCGTTGGTGTCGATGGAGGAGGTCGGTGCGCTCGTGAGCGGGCTAAGCGGCAAGGGCTTGAGCGCAGACTATCCTCTGGACCCGTCCGAAAGACGGCTGTACCGCAAGCAGAGCAGCAGGTCGCGCACCATTGGAGGCCTGGATGAGGAGGGGGTGAGTGCCGGGTAGGTGGTAGAGTGCATTCACGGGAACGCATGCAGTAGTCGTTAGACCATATTGACCTCTCGCACCCTTGCAATGCCGAGACGGAGCGATATTGACTGGTTTTACTTGGGAGCGATAAGGGTGGGACACGCCGCGTGCTTTCGAATAAAGAGGAACTACGGCAGCTACAGTGCCGTGCCTGGTGGATCCAGGAAAGATGAAAATCTCTGCTTTCTTGGCACAGCGTTGAAGAACATAAGTGGGCGGATTTCCACGAGCATCGAATCACGCCCTCGCCCCCAATATTCATTGCCATTGTTCTGATGTGTTGTTGTGGCCGTTGTGGCGCAAATCAATGTGCCTCTCTGTACACGTGTGTCTTTCTCACTTTCTCACCTCCAACTCTCTTTTCTCTCCCCGCCGCCCTCCCCCCGCCCCGTCTCTTGTCTCTCAGGTGGAGCGTATCTTCGAGGCGATTGACGTGGACAAGAGCGGCGAGATCAGCATCACCGAGTTCGTCGCGGCTTCCCTGGCGAAACAGCAGATCAACACCAGGGCCATCAAGGCTGCCTTCAACCGACTAGACTACGGCCGGTAAACCGGTCAACGCTAGGCTGCACAGCAGCAGTACTACAACAATATTTTTTTGGTTTATTCTATTTTTACCTTTTATTTTTTTTCTTCTTCATTGCCCTCGTGCCTACGGCAAGGATGGAGACGAAAAAACTGCTTCGCTCCGACTTCGACCAACGTAGCGGTGACCCTGACAGACACACTATGGACACCACCACCAGCACCGATCGTTACCGAATTATGACGTTGGATCACCCCGGGGACCAACCTTACGCTACAACCCATCCCTCCCCTCTTTCGGACGAATGCTTACGTGAATAGGACGGGGCTGATAACGGCGGCGGACATGAGCATGTACCTGGGTGAGACCTTCGACGAGAGCAAGATGCAGCAGTACATGAGGGAGGTCTCCAGCCGGGAGGATGGCTTGGTGGGTCTGCTTTTTCGTCGCGGCAGGCGCAGCTCTCTCGTCTCGTTATTCCTCGACGACAAAGAACAACGACCTTAAGAACCACCGAAAGACTCAACGACTCAAAATGAGCCCAGCAGCACCTTTATCTGCGAAGCACCAGATGGTTCGCAACTGATGGTTCTTTTGGTCTCGAAATCAACCATCGTTGGCGTGGTTAATACCCCAAGCAGAAGTGCTGTTGTCGCGTGAGGTTGTTTCAAGCGCGGGGTTGTTTGTTGCTTCTCTTTGCTCGTTCGCGGCTCCGGGAGCTCCAAACGAGGGGCTCGCGCTTTCCACCTTGGCCTCCGCAAAGTTTTCACACGCCAATCGCCTCCCGGTTGGCTGACAGGCAGATTTATTGACCTTGACGTTTTTGTTGTGATTTGTTGTCCATGAAATCAAGTCTGCCCTCGATATAACTTGCCAGAAAAGCTGCTTGTTGTGCATTCATTCCCCCAAACCCGCTGCTACTCGCCCGCTTTCTCATCGCCTGCCTGGGGTAGGACTTTTATTGGTGGCGGTTTGTTGTATTGTACGCCTGCCGTTCGTTATCAGGTTAATCTGGAAGATTTTTCCAAGTGTCTCAAGGCGCACGTCCTGAAGAAGGAGGGCTCCTCATCGCGAGGCAGCTCAAGAAGGTGCAGTAACACACAAAACATGCAGGACGCCTTTTTTTTTTTTTTTTTCAGCATTCCTCCGTTCTCCTCTCTCCTCTTCTTCTCGGCCTCTCTCGCTCGCCGGCCGTTCGGTTGGCCCGCGACACGCACGGGCGTGTTGTAACTTAGGGCTTGTGGCGTGTTATGATGACAAGGAAGGCTTCCGTACGAAACAGAATGCCGACATCTCCGCAGCGTTGTTGTTGTTCTTGTTGTTGCCGTTATTGTCGTTGTGGTCGTCGCCGTTGTCTCACTCCCACAAGCCGTGCTGCCCTCCGCGACCCGGCGGTATACCTCTGTCTTCCGGGGTCAGATATCCACGTACAAGTGCTATCACAAACCTACCAAATCTGTTTCGTCGGACATGTGCAAAACCCTAGAAAACTATGAGCTGATGCGAGAACACAACTACAGGCGTAGCATACGTTGAGCGCATTTCACCAGACTCTGACACCTCGAGATAGAACGCCCCACAAGTGAAAGTGTGCAAGACAGGAATACGTTACAGTCCTTCCACGGTTCTTAATAGGTATGAGCTGATCTGACCCTGTATTCTTAGCGTCCTGTACTCTACCATGTTTTGATTTACTGATGAGAGAACCTCCCCGGCTACTTATGGCAGGGTGACGAACGAGAGCATTGACCGACCAAAGATGAACTAGAGCGAGAAGCCGGCGTGTCTTGGAACGGCGCTCCTTGGAACGGCGCTCGTTCGCGGAAAAGTGGAGTTCGTTTGGCCCTGCCCGGGGAGCCTCAAGCGCAGCAGATCGGCAGCAGTATCAGTAGCAGCAGCAGCAACAGCAGCAGCAGCAGCGAGCGCAATGAGTTGACGCCAACACCGCTACCCAGTGCCTGGTGGCCGAGAGGCTGAGGGGGGTGTCCGCCGGTGGCAGTCCGACGAACGGATCGTCGGCTTCATGGATGGTTCCGTTCCAACGGGGATTGGTTGGAAACCCGAGGGTGGTGTGGCGTGCGTTTTCTTGTCGCCGTTTCTCTCGCGCAATGGTGGCTGGTGGCTCTTCTTTCTTTCTTGTTCTTGTTGTTGGCTTTTGTCTTGTCGACGTTCCGACTGCCCCGTGGTGAGGCGTTGAAGCACAAGAAATCTGCGTGTGGCAGAGCAAAGAGTTTGTGCTCCTGGAACGACGCATGTCGGCGTTTTTCATTAGCTGGTGCAGCTGTTGCTGTTTGCTGCTGCTGCTGCTGCTGCGGTGTGTAATAAGGCAGCCGACCGGCGCCTTGAGAAATAGTGTAGACGGAAAGAGACATTGTACACTAAATGATAAAATATAGGAGTATACAAGATTGCGGGAGTTAGGTAGCTTACCTCCCGGGGGCGAGGCAACAGGACATGGCCAATGTCATCGCGGTCGCATCGTTGCATCTCAACGTCATGACGTTCGGTAGTGAGTGCCGGTTTTGCGTACAACCTGCAGAATTTTGCGTCATGTGCGGGGTATTTTGTTTGTCGCCGTGACTTTTCGCGGGTGTGTGAGTAGGTGCGTTGAGGCTAGGGACGTCTTCGCAGCAGGTCCTATTGCTGTAATCCGCTGCGTTTGATCACTCGCTCTTATGTATTCGTGTCGCCCATGGTCTGTGTGGGACTTATGTGCGTTGCGCAGGAATCAAAACGGAAGTCTTCCTGTTTTTTGCACAACAGTTTTTTGTATTTCTTGCGAAGGCTTTCTTCGCGCGGAACACGTCCCCGGGGTGTAGAGCCAATTTTTTCAACTTTGGGCATCGAGCACAAGCGCCACGGGCGACTGGTGGTCCTCGGGCGTGCGCGGAAATGTACCGACGATCCCCTGCGTGCCTCTGACAAGGAAGCGTGAGAAAAGTCTCGCTTCTGCCAGCGAAAAGATATGTATCCCCAAGCACGAAAACGCGCAAAATGATACCATACATACCATACACATACTGAATGATACTAACAAAATGTTTCTTCGTTGGACGTCATGCCACAGCAGTACACCCACTCTGGTGTGGTGCCAGACTCTATTTCTTCGCTACTCGTTCGTGTCGTTCGTTGGGGGTTTTGACGGCGTTGCTGAGCGGGGTGTCTTGCCCCGCCCCACCTCTCGTCGTCTTGGAGTGCTTTTGGAGCGGTCGGGAAAACTAAGCTTTGAAATGAGCCAGACTTTGTGTTGGCAGCATGTGTCAACCTGCAGCTGGTTGTGCTTGCTGAGAAGTTGAACGCGGACACGGCCAAGATATGGCACAGGATGAAACGATGAGGCTCCACCTTCTGCTGAGAGCGTGTATACTCAGGTACCGTAACGTGAACGATAGAATGGCTTGCGCTGCGGGCAAATCCAGCTGAAGATGTCTTGTGGAAACGCGAGGCTCCCGTAGAGGGCAATCAGACAGAGATTTTGTATTCAAGGTCCGTGAAAACCCTTGAAGGCCATGTCGAGCTCGTGAAAGGTTAGTAGAGGAATTCGTCAATCCACTGTTCTTTGGTGTTCGCCGCTTCCAGGTTCATGACTTCACAGACAAGTGCGTAGAGTTTTTTTCTGAAAGGTTGTGTAGGCTGCCCAAGACCGCTCGATGCGGCGTACACCCGACGCTTTCACGCTACTCCTGCAAAGCGTGTGGCCTGTTTCAATTGGTTTGAGTTGCTTGTAAGGGGCTACAGCGATGCGTAATCGAACATCTGCCTCGCCAGTTTGGAAGGTCGAGGCGTGCTGCTGTAGGTCGCGTAGGCTCAAAACGGACCTTGTAACGGCCCAAATGTCAACGCCCAATACCTCTTCTGAGAAACTACGGGTAGTTATCCACACACGACTTCAAGTATGTGCGAGTGGAACTCCATGGCACGGGCCAGTCGCTACTCCCAGAAAGGGTTGTTCGTTTCCCCCGGCCTCCACGTAGAGCAGCATCCCTTCCAAATCGGTTTGATCTAGATCTTCGACCGTCTGCGTTTGAGACCACCTAAACTACTATCGAGGGGCCTCCTAGTGACTCGGGGTTGTTTCTGGAGGCGACCGGCCTTCAACGGTTCCGCCTTCCAGGCTATCCAGGCAGAAGGGTTGGCACTACCACAAGGCTAAGCTACTTCACTCCAAAAGTGTCTTGCACTTCACGGAAAGGATGCTAGCACGAGCTCCTCCGCACGAAACCCACGAGGGTCTTAAAAAACGAGTTCAAGGTTTCGTGTGAGGAACCAACAGCAACCTCATTAGCGCTCTGGTAATACTAGCTCGTTCTAGGAGGCACTTTACTTTATGTTTCCAAATTTCCGAAACGACAATACATGCATTTCGGGAAAAGCGTTGGCGTTGCAAAACCCGGTTGCAGTACAACGGCCCTACCACTACTGTAGTACCTCTTGCGCTACCAAACGCAACAATGACGCACCTCTACTATGTAAAACGAAAAATTCAATGCCAATGTTTTCGCCTCCCGCACCCTTCACCTTCCCGCAACCCCATGCACTTTTCTACGGAAATGTCCCCTGTAAAGCGCTTATCGGTCTATAACCCTCCGCTCCCGCGATTCGCCGACTCTTCGCCTGGCTTCGTCTTTCATCGCATCACCCCTCTACGACACGTGAAAAATGATCACCATCAGCTTCTCTTTACTACACACACTCGTTGTGTTGTCGGTCCAGGTACCGACGGGGCGGTAGCTGCAGAGACATATTAGCAAGGCTGTCGTACTGAGGGAACTGGGTCAGACGAGACGACCGTGGCGGGCAAGGGCCGCGAAACGTTGCCTGGGTTGACGTTGCCATCGTCGCCGCCATCGTCTTGTCCATCTTCCGAAGGAATGTGGCACTCATCGTACGACACGGGACGGAGCACGTTCTTTACGAAGACTTGCTGCTGTTGTTGCGGTTGCTGTGGCCGCTGCTTGTGCTGGGTAGCACGTTCAATGTCATCAGACGGCGGTATGTCACAAGGCTTTGCGTTCGCCGCTGCTCCTGCCAGCACCCCCAGTGCTTCATCGTGGGCGGATTCTAATGAGGAGATGGGTTGCATGCCGCCAGCAGAACCACCGCCACCGCCACCACCTATTCCGTTTCCAAGTCCGTCGTTGCCGACCTTCGGGGAACCAGGTCTGCTACTTGACGCGGAGCTCAATAGCTGCCTCAAAGGCGAGTGCGACCTGGTCCATCTTTGCGACGAGTTGTCACCGCCACCGTTACATTCTCTTCCTCGCTTATGCTGCTCGTCGATGGCTCGTGAAGAGGAAGAACCCCCTAGCGCTGCTGCTTCTGTCGTTCCCGGGCAACAGAACAACAAGTATGGTTTACAGGCGCATTGAATTATCGCGTAATAATATGATTCGGAGGTAGGGTGCCTTTTCAACTTCCTTTTGGAAATTATGAAACCATTGAGTTTTTTACGAGATGGTTTGCGGTTGGTTTTTGTGTCTCCTTGGAATTAATGAAATAATATACACATTCGGTGCTTCTTAGCCCCCTTCTCGTTGATGACCCGGTGTGTGGGATATTCTTCGACTGTCAAGCATCGACCGTGCTACCCTGCTGGTCAATTCAAGAAATTACGCTGTACATCATGTCCTGGATATTCCAGGAGAATGACGCACATCAAGTGAACTCATAATGTTTGGCAGTGAATGTAGTCTGCTAGTCTAGACTTTGTTTTGAACACCGGAAGTCCTCTAGCAGTGTATCGGGGTTGATGCGTGCAGAATACGACTGCGCAGGAGAACCAAATAGAGCTTGTATGAACAGGTGGGTCAGAACGAACCCAAGTCGAAGTCCGTGCAGAACCCCTTGAATACCACGTCATCGTATTCTTATATTGACAAATGGGAAGCTACATGTACGAAGACCAGTTCAGAGAGATGCCAGATAGGGTTAACTTGGTCATTTTGCTTCAGAATAATGCTGGACATACACAATGAAGGAATAAGAAAAACACACAGAAAGACCACCCATTCGAGACATACCCACAGTCTAACGGGATGTGGTGGAGTCTTTTCAGTGAGTGGAGGGAAACCGGCTGGGTACTGGACTTATTTCGAGTCTTTTAAGTCTATACACTGATGATTTATACGAGTGATATACACAATGCAACGCCGTTTGTGAGCGATAGGCCTCACGCACCATGACAAGAAACCGGCGTAAACCGCTGGTGGAAGACTCCCCAACAAGGAATTTATTGCTTCTTCACCTTGCTCGGGTTTAACGCGTACCACGCCAGTGGCCCTCTCCACCACGGCTGCCTCTTCAAAACTAGCCATGGCGCACCGAGCAGCAGCCGCGCGTTTCTCTCGGCGTGACGCACCCCCGCACACGGAACAACCCCGTGTTGACCCCCGTCTCTCGGACTGGAAGAGGAACAAACGCAGGGTCCCTTCCCTCGCACAGGGGCAGACCGACTGGCACTGCTCTAAGCACCACAGGTAGACCAATGTTGCCCAGAAGTCTTCCCTGTTCCGCAGCAACTGCCCAGAGCCCAGAACCGTGCTACGACGGTGCGCACATCAGCGACATCATGGATCATGGAGCCAGCGCCAGCAGGAACCTCGGGTGCGGTGGAACTCGAAAAGGTACACGGAGGATGTTCGCCAAAGTCGACAGTCCCGTGTGAAAAGCGAGAGAGATGGGCGCATGGTGCATGGGCGCGCATCGACGCACGGCGGCGGGAAGCAGCTGGAAGGACTAAGACGGCGTGGGATGGCAAAGCAAGTACGGAGGCTGGATGCTTCCACCGCGGAGTACTCCGACTTTGTTTATGTTATGAAGAACAATACCCCGGTGAGTATTACCTTATTCAGATCGGGACGTTAGCGAGTTTGGGCCTCGCTGCTGTTGCTACCGCTGGTGATTGGAGCTACAACGACCGTCTGACACAGGGGCACCTGCTGCTGTGGCACACTCCCTACCGCTGACGTCACAGCATTTTCATTTTCAATGTACACCGTTCCCGACCCTTCTCCCCGTTAGCACAGCCACCGTCACAAATCTCTCTCTCTCTCTCTCTCTCTCTCTCTCTCTCTCTCTCTCTCTCTCTCTCTCTCTCTCTCTCTCTCTCTCTCTCTCTCTCTCTCTCTCTCTCTCTCTCTCTCTCTCTCTCTCTCTCTCTCTCTCTCTCTCTCTCTCTCTCTCTCTATCTCTCTCTCTCTCCCTCCCTCTCTGCCTCTCTCCATCAGAAAAATGCCTCGCTAGTACTGCTGTATACCACATGTTCAACCCCCGAGGAACGTGGTATCGATGATCAATGATTCCCGCCCCCGACCGCCCCAGGCCATCTTGACCAACTTCTCTGGCCTTCTTCCGTCCTTTCTGCCATGGCAGAAGGACGGTAGAGCCGACGTTGACTTCTTGCGGCAAGAGTTCGGTGATATGGAAGTCCCGGTGAGCACGCCACGTGGACCCTTCCGCCCAGATAGTGGTCGGGCAATATGCACATATGTTTGCACTTGTCAGTTTGGAAACAAGCACATAAAGCTGTTCGGGCATTACGTTCCGTGCCTGGTTTGCAACTCGCTTTAAAGTACGCACGTGATTGCCGGTCTTTAACGCTCGTAGCATGTGTTCCACGCAAGGCGCACGCAGAACCATGAAACGGACCCGATTGTGGCGATCGCTCCCTTGGTTCGGCACGAGCATAGCGCTCGTGTTCGGTCAATCTCAGCTTCTATGCTCTCCAATCACGTCCCCGAGCTCGCTCGCCTCCACATGCTCGCACACAAGTTGCGAATCAAGAAAAATACGCTCTCGCTTCTTCGCCGCAACGCGACGTTGCGTTACGCAGGTGGTTGAGTGCTCCCCCCTGGAGGGGTACGGCGAGGAGAGACGGGTCTCCATGACGCTACGTGAGCTTTGGATGCGCTCAATAGTGGCCACGAAAAAAGAAGCCGCTACAACTGTAGTGTCGTCTCGTCCCAGAGTGTTGGTCGGGCCACCGTGCTGTTGTTCTCTTCGGCATCGTCGTGCGTAAGAGTGCTGCTGTCGACATTGCTTCATCCTGCTTGCGGCCGCTGCTGCCGCCTGATAGGTACCTCTCATACCATATTTTCCATACCCCGGCTCCATCCGAAGGAGAGCCGCTTCTAGGGTTGTGCTGCAGAAGAAAAAAAAACAAAAAACGCTTTCGCCCGAACACACGCGCGGAAAACAGGCGAGTACTTGGATGCCGTCCACGATGGCGAACGACCTGAGCCAACGGGCGGAAGCAGTAGCGATAGCGGGGGCGGCCCCGTCCTGTACCTGAAGGATTGGCACTTCCAAAGGCTGGTGAGAGAAGGAAAGAAACCTTCACTCTCTGGTTCGACGTCGGCGGACGGGGGAGGCGCCAGCGCAGCAGGCGCCATGGAGACTCCATCTTTCTTCCGAGATGATTGGCTGAATTGGTGGTAAGCAAGGTAGTGGGGCGGACGGGGTCATGTACGTTGTGGAGCCCCAACGCCACATTTGTAAAGGTCTGTATATGTAGCCTGCAGAGTGCCCACACGACAAGCCATACACATACAAAGCCAAGAAAAAAAAACGCAGAACACTCGAAAGCGAATCATCGTACGCAAACTTGTTTTGTTTTATTGTTCTTTTGACAGGTGTGACAGGCAAGGACAGGACGACTACCGTTTCGTCTACATCGGCCCCCCCGGTTCATTTACCGGCCTTCACCATGACGTCCTCAACAGGTGTGGAGTAGCTTTACAGATCTCAGACAGGTGCGCCTCGTCAAACACTGGTGTATTAGCAGCAGCCCCTGTCGCCCCAGGATACACATCGCCCCACCTGCTCCGACACCCCCTTTCCCCGCGCGCACGCACATGTACTTTTAGCTTTAGCTGGTCCTTCAACGTCTGTGGCAGCAAGCACTGGACCCTGTTCCCGACGGAGGCCACGCCGGATCTGTACGATAGGTGAGGTTTTCTGTTCTACGTTCCGCTTGTACGTACGTGACGCGGCTGAGGTGGTCTGGCTTGTAGGCATCAGAATACCAACGTTGTGTGGCGCCATGGTTGTAAGGGGGGGCGAGGGAGTTAGATATCCCCCCATGCGTTCTACTACATGACCTTTCACTCACGCACTCACATACACCGCGCGTTCCTGCATTGAAAGTGCACTACTTTGCCTGTCTTGATGAACTCCAGATACGGTCGAGACCTGGCCAAAGACGTTCGGAGCGGCCGCGCGGACCCCGACAAATTCCCTCGCCTCGACGCCGCTCCGAGGCTAGAGGTTTACCAGGGGCCCGGGGAAGCTATATTCGTGCCCTCAGGATGGCACCACCAGGTGGCCGTCGACTCTTTTCCGAACGGTGTTTCTGTATGGGCGCTCTAGAAGACATGTCGTATCACGGGTTGTTTGGTGCTACATACGGGGTATGTGTGTGGGCAACATGATTTTCCCCGGAAAATGGTTTCTTTGTCGCAGGTTGGTGCGTGTGATTGGCATCGTGAGATTTGCCAGGTATACTTCTACGTTCATGCGATACCTACGTACCAGATTATTGGGGCAGATTATCGGGGCAGAATTTGAGACAACGAGCGATCCAGGAGTCCTGCGTGCAACTATCGGCGGGTGGGCGGGTAGACGGTAGGTGGGTGGATGGGTGGGAAGGGGTACTCGTTTCTCGTTCGCCCTCCTCGTACTTGGACAAAAAGACACGCTGTTGTACGTACCATACTTTTTGTCGCGACGGAAACTAGAAATCTATCGACCGATCGATGTGATCCACGTAAACCCAACACCATCTAACACGCTCCCCAACCCCCCCCGCGCCTAACAATAAACAAACCAGGTTGTCAACACCGGAGACGGGAGGGAAGGAGGCGGGGGCTTGACCGTCTCGGTCAACACGAACTGGTTCAACGGCTTCAACCTCGATAAGGTTGCGGCCTTCTTGCACTCGGAGCTGTCCGCAGTGCGCGCCGCGCTTGACCACCTTCGAGAGACCATGTCCGGGGGGGGGGGCGCGGGAGGGACGGGCGGAAGGAGGGAGTGGGAAAACCAGTGCGAGCTGGTGATGCGGGCGAACAGCTCCTTCAACGTGACGGACTTTGCGCGACTGGTCACGGCGAGGGCGCAGCATCTTCTCGGGGCCCGCGCAGCGCAAGACTCGCTTTGCGACGACGATCCAGAACGATGTCGCGGGAGCGGAGCATCAGGCCGTGGCAGCAGCAGCGGCAGCGGCGCGTGGCAGCAAGAGCGATGGGTGGTCCTAGCCCTCCAACAGCTCCGGGCCGTGCTGCGAGAGTTGCTTGTTGCCCCCTCCGCCGACCACGTTTTTCTAGACGATGGCGGCGATAGCGCCAGCTTGCCGGACGAAGACGGGGCGACCTCAGGCGAGGGTGGCGACATCGAGGGAGGTAGCGACCGCGGTCTCCGCGAGACGCTGGACGCCGTGGAAACCTATCTTCTTACCCGAGATGTGACTCGTGAACAATCATCTGGTGCGTCAACTACCCTTGAGCGTGACGGCGGCGGTCCAGTCGATTGACCGCCCGAGTTTCCAAGGGTGTGCGGATAGATGGCAATAACTCAATACGACACGAGGCGATGCCTCAAAGATCGGGGTTTAAGCTGCGTGTGTGTGGGTACGGCGACAACCGTCGTTCCTCGCGCACTCTGTCGCGTGGCGAGTATCGGCTGATGCCGCAGGCCCGTGGCCATGCATGACGTTTCCTTTAGACGCACCGAGGATGCACACTCCACTAATAGCGCACCTTCAACCATCCTCGCTCACGCCGAGAAGGAGGAGGGTTTCGCTAGCGACCGTTCTTTTACCTGCCGTCCAAATCCATGTCTGGCACACACGTCAACTGGCCCTCCCCAACTTTCACAGGCTGAACGATACTGCGGAAAACTTTCACAAGCTGAGCGCTACTGCGGAAAGCTAGGCAACGCACGGGGGTCGAGTGTTCAAGCGCGTGGTTCTTTCAATCGCCACCGGTAAAGCACCCGCAGAGAGCAACGACACAGGGAAGTGCAAACGGCGCAGCAGCTGGTACACCAAAATACGGGGAGACGCTCCGCAATCCCGATGTCCCGCACACCCCGACCGAAGGAATATAGGGTTTCCGAATACTACATCATTCAAAGCGACATTAGTTCTATCTCTGCCCCCCCCCCCCTCATCACCGCGTATCAAATCCCGACGAATAAACGCCCTTCCCTCATGACGGTACACATCACACAGGTGGCCCCGCAAATGTCCAACCAAAACCAACAAGCTAAGCATATGCTTCGTTCATACACAACAATAATAAAAGTTGCCATCATCGGCCTCTAGCGCGCCAGTCCAACGGGTCCATCGGCACGTACTCTCCGGAAAAAGCCTCCTCCGTGGCCCTTTTCTTCTTTCGCTTTCGCCCCCGCAGCATGGCCGAGATCTCCGCTGCCGCCGCGTCGGCCGGCGCCGAGGCTACGGCCACCTCGCGCATGGCCGTCCCCGTCTTCGCCACCGACTTCTCCACCTCCTCCTTCTCGCCGCCGCCCCCGCCGCCGCCGCTACCGTCACGAGACTTTGGTCGGGTTTCTTCTTCTTCTTCTTCTTCTTCTTCTTCCCGCTGTCTCTTTTCCTTGCCCTCCGCTGCCGCCACAGCACCGTTCCTGGAATCAGTGCTGTTCTTCTCGAGATCATCCTTTTGCTCGTCTTCTGCTTCGCCGCGGGCCGGCTCGGCGCGCTTCCGCTTCCGCGTGATGATGCTCTCGGACTTGTTCATGAGCAGCGCCAGGCGGCCCATCATGGTCCTGCGAGATTTTTTTTGCGCCCAACAACAACGCGCGGGTCGCCATGACGTTGTTCGGACAGGCAATGTAATGAGACGCGGGAATGCGGCGGCATGGCAGGTGAGGCAGAGCGACAGCGGAAGAGCGCCTTCGTATTGAGCTTGCTGAAACACAAGGAAAGTAAGCCACCTCGGCGACGCTAGAGCAGTAAAGCTGCCCCCAAATTCTGCGAAAGGTGATCTACAAGTGATGCCACCACCATCAAAAACAACACGTCGGAGGGAAAAGAGGGCTGAGAAATGGGCAGGCCCCCGCCATCGCTTTTCCTCCAATTCGTTTATCTTTGAGCGAGGGAAAGTCAATCACGACCTCGATGGGGACAGCTGGCAGTCCACCCTGAGAACGAATGTCATGAAAATTGCGACATGTTTACGGGCACATCGGGTACGGGCAGCAGCGCCACGGCAGAAGCCATACCAATGCGCGCCTCTTCTATTGAACACGACAGGGTGTCAACTTCGGGAACGACAGACAGTGTGTCAGCAAGAGGGGGGGGGGGGGGGGGGGGGGGGCCCCAAAACCGGGGGGGCCGAAACCTTTGGACCTTTGCCCCCCCCCCCCCCAAAAGCGGGGGGGGGGCCCCCGGGGTTTCCCCGGGACCGGGGTTTCACTTACCAAAAGGGAAAGCCCCGGGGGGATTTTGGGGGGCCCCGGGAAGGGGGGCCCCCCCCCCGTCAGGGGGGTTCGGCA